ACGCTCGCTACACTGCAATTGGATTTTTTTTGGCCGGGAATGGCGCGCGATGTCGCCGACCTTTTGAATAGTTGCACACAGTGTGCGCGGCGGAAACACCCGGCTAGGGCGGCTTGCCCACCCCTTCAGTCCATTCAGGTGTCCCGGGTTAATGAGTTGGTGGCTCTTGACATTCTGGGTCCCTTCCCTGTCACCGCTCGGGGAAATAAGTACCTGCTGGTTGGGGTTGAATATTTCACCCGTTGGCCAATGGCCTGGCCCCTCCCCAACCAGTCGGCAGCAGCCATTGCGGAGGCGTTTCTCCAGGGCTACGTCCTGGATAAGGGTGCCCCGGAACGGCTGCTAACCGACCAGGGAAAGAACTTTTCGTCCAATCTTCTGCGGGAGGTTTGTGACCTTTTGTGCACACAGAAGGTCCGGACTTCCCCCTACCACCCGCAGACCGATGGTATGGTCGAACGTCTACACCGGACCATTACCTCTATGTTGTGTCATCAGGTAGACGACACACAGTTGGATTGGGACCTGAGGATTCCCGGAGTTCTGGCCGCATATAGGTTAGCGCCTCACACGGCCACGGGCTATTCGCCCTTCTACTTAATGTACGGCAGGGAAGTCGACCCCCCCGTGGAGGTGCAATTGCGGGTCCAGTCTGCGGCTTCTCGCTCGAAACTGTCCGAACACGCTCAGTTCAATATTCGGAAGTTGGTCGAGGCGAGGGTGGCCGCGCAGGAAAATTCCAGGGCAAGGCAACGGGCCAATGAGCGTCTGTATGATCGCCGGGTTACGGTGTATAGAGGAAAATTGCAATCAATAATCAAGTCAGACAGTATCGCATTGGAGATGGCCTTCTGCTGTGGGTGGCTCATGCTGTAACGCCCTACACGAGTGTCCAGGAATTGTGAGATTGAAGGCTGTTGTGGTTCATCTACGATGCTTTTGTTCATCTGGTATTCTTCATACCTGTAACAGAAAAGAATATGAAACAGATGTCAGAAAATCCCTTATAGCCACACATGTTGTATTTGAAACTACTCTTTACTCATATCAATGTTGTTGTGTTAATATTCATTGTCTATTGTACACTACGGTATACGATAATACATTTCAGTTTCAGTGTATGCAATATTAAGAATATTTTCACTGCTTCAAAAGTCATAAGAAAGCCCTTTCCCTCAAGAAACTGAAGTCATATGCTTTATAGCAGTGGTTTTCAAAGTGGGGACGGGGACCCCTGGGTGCCGCGAGGGGGTGCTAGGGGGGCCATGGCAAGTTGGCATGAAAAGTATAGCAAAACAAAATAATTGAATAAATTAAATAAGTAAAATAAACCAAATTAAACCAAAAATAAGCTAAACAATATCCCCATTAGTTAAGAACTCCACTATAATAATCTATTGCATCTCTGAACATTACTACTATAATCGTTATTATTTTATTATATACTGTATATATCCCAGTGGTGCGCTGCCTCACAGACCTAGACTACGGTAGCACGCTATGTCCATGCGCTGCCTGCTGTTTGGGCATGATATGAAAAGGGAAGGCTAATGGTGGATCTTCTGTGACTGTGTCATCATTTTCCTCTTTACAGTGTATATGTCTTACTATGTTTCCTATTGTACTTGGATGGGTTTAGGGATGCACCAACTCCATCGAGTTGTGAAAGGAGGTGCACAGAAAAAAGAGTGTGGCACGGCCCATGTCAGGGGGGCCTTGGCTGGAATCTACTGGTATATGGGGGGCCTTGTCATGGTAAAGTTTGGGAACCCCTGCTTTATAGTTCACTCTCTCCTGCACACCAGATTCCATGGTGCCTTGCTGCATCACACAGCAATTGCAGGTCTACTGCTGCCTCATTCATTGTTTAATTGTGATAGTTTATGTCTTCAGCGACAGTTCAGCTTAGTTGTGATTAACCAAAATTACATAAACGACCTCAATGAGGCAGCACACCAGCCACTCTGAAACTGAACGATTGAAAGAGTAAAACTGGAAGGCCTGTTTTTGTCTCATGTGTGTTGGAGAGACTGAGATATACATTTGTGTTTATCCGTCTAGCAGCAAGGTAGAAATGATACTTTAAAACGGACGTTGACATGATGTTGAAGAGGTTTTCCATCTGAGTGTGCTACACTCATGTACCTCATATAATCGGGGTTCAAAAATCCCTATTTTTGTAAGCATTAACCAGCAAGGGAGACGTGCGTTTACTGTCTCGTTGATACAGTAAATATGCAGCAGCTAGTAAGTTACGGTACATCCGATAAGGTGCTTAGCATTCGTTCAAAACTTACCTTTCTTTGTGCAACTTCAGGTGTCGAACAAAGTTAGACGTTGTGGCAGCACCGTCTGTAATCTTCGACCCGCATGTTTTGCAAATTGCAACTCGTTTTTTGTCGACTACATCGTAATTTTTATAGCCAAACGAAACTATCTTCGGTATCATTTTGCCAACTGGCGCATTGTTGCTTGTTGCGCTTCATTGGTTGTCTTGCAATGTGCCTGCTTAGATGCTGTCCAATCAAAACAACGTGGGACTACAGTGATTGGATGTCGTGCAGGCAGCGCGCGTGCTCTCTGCATGCATACAGGTGGTGCACATTTTTTTCACAAATGCAGATAAACTGAGAGCGGCGCGGCCGTGTGAACATTTTTTCCCCCAGTTTTCATGGGAAGTAGCAAGTCTTCTCGAGTCAAAAGGCGCAAGTCCAAGTGAAGTCACGAGTCATTGATGTTAAAGTCCAAGTCGAATTGCAAGTCTTTGTACATTTTGTCGAGTCGAGTCTGAAGTCATCAAATTCATGACTCGAGTCTGACTCGAGTCCAAGTCACATGACTCGAGTCCACACCTCTGGCCACTCACTCCACATCGAACAGCCCCCCTAATTAATAATCATAAGGTGACGTCCTCCAAATGGACACCTCCCACCATTCATAATAATTAGCGGCTGACGTCACTCCACATGGGGGGCCGAGGTGCCTCCTCCCCCCTCCTCAGCGTTAACTTACAAACCTCACTACAAAGGCAAAACCCTCAAGTCAAGCAATCTCCGTAATGCTATTGAGACATCAAAGTAAAAAGGACGTCATGATGAACAAGGGATTATAACCTTAAAATGAAATAGGTCTGTGTCACTGCGCCCTTACAAATTGCACACGCATTAATGCAATGAATATCACGTCGCGGTCTGCTTTTTGCTTGCAAGTTTCAGATTAACTGCAATACACCCGTCCTTGGACGGGCTAAATGCTAGTTGTAAATAATTGAGCAGTTTTACATACAGTGAGGGAAAAAAGTATTTGATCCCCTGCTGATTTTGTACGTTTGCCCACTGACAAAGAAATGATCAGTCTATAATTTTATGGTAGGTTTATTTGAACAGTGAGAGACAGAATAACAACAACAAAATCCAGAAAAAACGCATGTCAAAAATTTTATAAATTGATTTGCATTTCAACGAGGGAAATAAGTATTTGACCCCTCTGAAAAACATGACTTAGTACTTGGTGGCAAAACCCTTGTTGGCAATCACAGAGGTCAGACGTTTCTTGTAGTTGACCACCAGGTTTGCACACATCTCAGGAGGGATTTTGTCCCACTCCTCTTTGCAGATCTTCTCCAAGTCATTAAGGTTTCGAGGCTGACGTTTGGCAACTCGAACCTTCAGCTCCCTCCACAGATTTTCTATTGGATTACGGTCTGGAGACTGACTAGGCCACTCCGGGACCTGAATGTGCTTCTTCTTGAGCCACTCCTTTGTTACCTTGGCCGTGTGTTTTTGGGTCATTGTCATGCTGGAATACCCATCCACGACCCATTTTCAATGCCCTGGCTGAGGGAAGGAGGTTTTCACCCAAGATTTGACGGTACATGGCCCCGTCCATCGTCCCTTTGATGCAGTGAAGTTGTCCTGTCCCCTTAGTAGAAAAACACCCCCAAAGCATAATGTTTCCACCTCCATGTTTGACGGTGGGGATGGTGTTCTTGGGGTCATAGGCAGCATTCCTCCTCCTCCAAACACAGGAGTTGAGTTGATGCCAAAGAGCTACATTTTGGTCTCATCTGACCACAACACTTTCACCCAGTTGTCCTCTGAATCATTGACAAACTTCAGACGGGCATGTATATGTGCTTTCTTGAGCAGAGGGATCTTGCGGGCGCTGCAGGATTTCAGTCCTTTACGGCGTACTGTGTTACCAACTGTTTTCTTGGTGTCTATGGTCCCAGTTGCCTTGAGATAATTGACAAGATTCTCCCGTGTATTTCTGGGCGGATTCCTCACCGTTCTCATGATCATTGCAACTCCACGAGGTGAGATTTGCATGGAGCCCCAGGCCGAGGGAGATTGACAGTTTTTTTGTGTTTCTTACATTTGCGAATAATCGCACCAACTGTTGTCACCTTCTCACCAAGCTGCTTGGCGATGGACTTGTAGCCCATTCCAGCCTTGTGTAGGTCTACAATCTTGTCCCTGACATTCTTGGAGAGCTCTTTGGTCTTGGCCATGGTGGAGAGTTTGGAATCTGATTGATTGATTGCTTCTGTGAACAGGTGTCTTTTATACAGGTAACAAGCTCAGATTAGGAGCACTCCCTTTCAGAGTGTGCTCCTAATCTCAGCTTGTTACCTATATAAAAGACACCTGGGATCCAGAAATCTTTCTGATTGAGAGGGGGTCAAATACTTATTTCCCTCATTGAAATGCAAATCAATTTATAAAATTTTTGACATGCGTTTTTTCTGGATTTTGTTGTTGTTATTCTGTCTCTCACTGTTCAAATAAACCTACCATTAAAATTATAGACTGATCATTTCTTTGTCAGTGGGCAAACATACAAAATCAGCAGGGGATCAAATACTTTGTTACCTCACTGTATATAAATTGCATTGGCATATGTGGTCATTGACACGGTAAAACTAGTCAAGATGGTGTGGTGGTGTTGCAGTGTCAAGAAAAGTGCTTCATGGTGTCTTAAACTCTCTTCTCATTTGACAGCAATTGGAGAGTACAGCCATGTCTTTAGCTGCATGCAGTGAGGCATGGGGCGTCTGCGAGAATGCCGGCAATTCACGGAGCAAGACCAGAGGTCGAGCCATGCTGCCCACGTCTAGAGAGGTATTTGTGTGCTTGAATAATAATAGTGAAAATTATTGTACAGGCAGACCTTGCTTAGCGCTCAAAATGTGTATGCTGGAGAAGTGGCCACTAATCAAATCGGCGCATAAAGGAGTTCATTAGACAATTGTATATATGGGGATGCATTCCCAACAGCTTTAATTCTTACATGTGTAATGCGAGCGTAGGCTGGGGCTTCGCCGCCCCAGCCCCTAACCCATCCAGGCGACACGAGCCATCGGGGGAAGGGTTCAAGGGTGGAGCCCGCGGGCGCTAGGGGGTGGTATTATCTGGAAAGTTCTCAAGGGGTGTGGTGAAGGGCAGAGTCTGGGTGACGCGGGAAGGGGATATAATGGAGAGCCGGAAGGGGCTCGAGGTCAGTTGGTGAGAGCTGGAAGCTGGACCACGTCGCGGGTCTCCGTGAGCCATCGGCCACGTGGCGACGCGGAGACGGCTCCCAGCGCGCCGTCTGCCAGCGGTGCGCGGGAGCGGGGAAGCGGGACGCCAGCTCACGCGACGCGCCGCGGAACGTCCGAGAGAGCGGAACGCGAGCTGTCCATATAACGAAGAAATAAACAGACGGAGACACAGTCGCTTCTTCTTGGTTCTTTCGGTAAAGTCACGTAGAAGGGAAATAATAAAATAATAAAAATAAAACATAATAAAATACAATTTACACTATGGGGACCTCATTTGCCAGTAAAAATATGATAATTGGTTCTTTACCCTTCTATCTGGCAACAAAACTGACACCTTTTTGCAAGGAGTCATGTTTGCATAGACCGCAATACCTGCAGTCATAATACAAACAAAAGAACATAACTCTGATAATGTGCACTGTCCTTGAAGTTGATTGGTCCACACCCGAGACAGCTTTCCTTCGAGCCTAGTCTCATATTGGTTGGACCAGATGACGCCAAAAGGCGCACAACTCAAGGACAATGCACCATCAGAGTATGAGAGCTCGGGGCAAGCATCTACACTATGGGGACCTCATTTGCCAGTAAAAATATGATAATTGGTTCTTTACCCTTCTATCTGGCAACAAAACTGACACCTTTTTGCAAGGAGTCATGTTTGCATAGACCGCAATACCTGCAGTCATAATACAAACAAAAGAACATAACTCTGATAATGTGCACTGTCCTTGAAGTTGATTGGTCCACACCCGAGACAGCTTTCCTTCGAGCCTAGTCTCATATGGGTTGGACCAGATGACGCCAAAAGGCGCACAACTCAAGGACAATGCACCATCAGAGTATGAGAGCTCGGGGCAAGCATCTACACTATGGGGACCTCATTTGCCAGTAAAAATATGATAATTGGTTCTTTACCCTTCTATCTGGCAACAAAACTGACACCTTTTTGCAAGGAGTCATGTTTGCATAGACCGCAATACCTGCATTTATAATACAAACAAAAGAACATAACTCTGATAATGTGCACTGTCCTTGAAGTTGATTGGTCCACACCCGAGACAGCTTTCCTTCGAGCCTAGTCTCATATGGGTTGGACCAGATGACGCCAAAAGGCGCACAACTCAAGGACAATGCACCATCAGAGTATGAGAGCTCGGGGCAAGCATCTACACTATGGGGACCTCATTTGCCAGTAAAAATATGATAATTGGTTCTTTACCCTTCTATCTGGCAACAAAACTGACACCTTTTTGCAAGGAGTCATGTTTGCATAGACCGCAATACCTGCAGTCATAATACAAACAAAAGAACATAACTCTGATAATGTGCACTGTCCTTGAAGTTGATTGGTCCACACCCGAGACAGCTTTCCTTCGAGCCTAGTCTCATATGGGTTGGACCAGATGACGCCAAAAGGCGCACAACTCAAGGACAATGCACCATCAGAGTATGAGAGCTCGGGGCAAGCATCTACACTATGGGGACCTCATTTGCCAGTAAAAATATGATAATTGGTTCTTTACCCTTCTATCTGGCAACAAAACTGACACCTTTTTGCAAGGAGTCATGTTTGCATAGACCGCAATACCTGCAGTCATAATACAAACAAAAGAACATAACTCTGATAATGTGCACTGTCCTTGAAGTTGATTGGTCCACACCCGAGACAGCTTTCCTTCGAGCCTAGTCTCATATGGGTTGGACCAGATGACGCCAAAAGGCGCACAACTCAAGGACAATGCACCATCAGAGTATGAGAGCTCGGGGCAAGCATCTACACTATGGGGACCTCATTTGCCAGTAAAAATATGATAATTGGTTCTTTACCCTTCTATCTGGCAACAAAACTGACACCTTTTTGCAAGGAGTCATGTTTGCATAGACCGCAATACCTGCAGTCATAATACAAACAAAAGAACATAACTCTGATAATGTGCACTGTCCTTGAAGTTGATTGGTCCACACCCGAGACAGCTTTCCTTCGAGCCTAGTCTCATATGGGTTGGACCAGATGACGCCAAAAGGCGCACAACTCAAGGACAATGCACCATCAGAGTATGAGAGCTCGGGTCAAGCATCTACACTATGGGGACCTCATTTGCCAGTAAAAATATGATAATTGGTTCTTTACCCTTCTATCTGGCAACAAAACTGACACCTTTTTGCAAGGAGTCATGTTTGCATAGACCGCAATACCTGCAGTCATAATACAAACAAAAGAACATAACTCTGATAATGTGCACTGTCCTTGAAGTTGATTGGTCCACACCCGAGACAGCTTTCCTTCGAGCCTAGTCTCATATGGGTTGGACCAGATGACGCCAAAAGGCGCACAACTCAAGGACAATGCACCATCAGAGTATGAGAGCTCGGGGCAAGCATCTACACTATGGGGACCTCATTTGCCAGTAAAAATATGATAATTGGTTCTTTACCCTTCTATCTGGCAACAAAACTGACACCTTTTTGCAAGGAGTCATGTTTGCATAGACCGCAATACCTGCAGTCATAATACAAACAAAAGAACATAACTCTGATAATGTGCACTGTCCTTGAAGTTGATTGGTCCACACCCGAGACAGCTTTCCTTCGAGCCTAGTCTCATATGGGTTGGACCAGATGACGCCAAAAGGCGCACAACTCATGGACAGAGTTATGTTCTTTTGTTTGTATTATGACTGCAGGTATTGCGGTCTATGCAAACATGACTCCTTGCAAAAAGGTGTCAGTTTTGTTGCCAGATAGAAGGGTAAAGAACCAATTATCATATTTTTACTGACAAATGAGGTCCCCATAGTGTAGATGCTTGCCCCGAGCTCTAATACTCTGATGGTGCATTGTCCTTGAGTTGTGCGCCTTTTGGCGTCATCTGGTCCAACCCATATGAGACTAGGCTCGAAGGAAAGCTGTCTCGGGTGTGGACCAATCAACTTCAAGGACAGTGCACATTATCAGAGTTATGTTCTTTTGTTTGTATTATGACTGCAGGTATTGCGGTCTATGCAAACATGACTCCTTGCAAAAAGGTGTCAGTTTTGTTGCCAGATAGAAGGGTAAAGAACCAATTATCATATTTTTACTGGCAAATGAGGTCCCCATAGTGTAGATGCTTGCCCCGAGCTCTCATACTCTGATGGTGCATTGTCCTTGAGTTGTGCGCCTTTTGGCGTCATCTGGTCCAACCCATATGAGACTAGGCTCGAAGGAAAGCTGTCTCGGGTGTGGACCAATCAACTTCAAGGACAGTGCACATTATCAGAGTTATGTTCTTTTGTTTGTATTATGACTGCAGGTATTGCGGTCTATGCAAACATGACTCCTTGCAAAAAGGTGTCAGTTTTGTTGCCAGATAGAAGGGTAAAGAACCAATTATCAAAATACAATTTTCACGACGTTTCGGCCACAACGCAAGCAGCCGTCCTCAGGTGAAGAACAGGTCTGTCGGGGAGACAGCGTCTGAATGAACACAGTCGCTTGTCGTCGACCTGTATTATTGCACATGTATGAGCAATATATGAGGGCTTCATTGAGGAACAGCACTAATAATACAGATGCTAAAACTTCTTTTGAATAAGTAATATTTTAAAATACTTTTTTTTAAACACGCTTTAATGAAATGTACCGTATGAGTAATGGCAGAACTCCCCAACTCCAGGAAGTGGCCCCGAGGCTTGCCATAATGTAAGGGACCGTGGTCAATTACAGCCTACGTAAGTTGAGCGTTGACAATTAGACCCAAGCCTAAACATAACATATACAAAAGATTGTTTCAAAATATATATATTTTTTGATAGAATCTAGTATTGTCATTGATACGGCTATTTTAATACACACAATGGACTGGAAGGACAAGATTAAAGGGCTCGTATAATGCACATGCATAATGTACGTTGACTCATTAATCGCCCCCCCTCCACTTTACGCAAGAGCGTGAAGTGTGGTCACCACATCTACGCCTCTATATAAGGAACAAAACAGGTGGACTTCTCCACAAATCTGTCTGTCGCCTGATGAAGCTAGTTGTAATACTGGCAAAACATCGTACTCAGATTGTAAATGTTGTGGCTTGGCTCTCCAACACACCAGTGTGCTGTACTAGTGACAAATTGGCATGTTCTGTTTACATTACAACCCTTACTAGTTGGCTGTGTCGGGTGGTGGTGGATTTTAACGACACATATATTTACACGATCTAACAAAACAAACCTCTTATGGATGATATTCGTCGTGAAAGCCTACGTGTTAAACGGGATATTCGATGTCCCCTGTGAAGCCGATGGCGTTTATTTTATGGCTCGTACATCTTAGTATTAACCAGGACGGCCTGTCGGAATAGAACCGCAAACCTCTGCAACAAGTGGCAAATGCACTACCGCTGAGCCACGTCAATTATTTTATTCATAAACTTAGGTTTCCACGGCCAGCGTTATGATGCATAGTTGATTTGTGGGCTTAATTGAGGAGTGTGTATGTTCTCCACCTGCTGTACATGGACGACTCGTAGACTGAACTCTTAGTAAGGGCTTGCGCCAGTTTATTAACACAGAGGTAACAAAACACACCAGAGGTAGGTGTCCCTACACTCAGTCCTTGACGCGGACGTCAGGCTCTATCTATTCCTAGCCTGGGCTATCTCTTGGCCTCTCACTCGAGTTGGGATGGGGGCTTATCCAACACCACCCGACCGAGGAGAGCAGCACCCCACGTAATCTTAACCGGCTCTTGCAGACTTCTCTGAGCCCTACCCCTGGCTGTATCTTCGGCTCTCCTACTCGTAGAACCCGGACGGGGGATCAGCCAACACCGTCCGGTCACGAGCAGGAGAGACCTTCTTAAGACGCTCACCATCCCGGGCTCCCACAACGACCCCGCTTTCGCCACGGGGTCCCCCTTAAGTATTTCCCGTGACATGACGTCATTGCGCCTCACAGCGCTCATGATGTCATGTCGTCATACTACTCTACACATGTTTAGTGAGTGACATTGGGGATGTCACTGTATGGTGCCGGACAGCATCGTGTGTGTTGCAGAGTGATGCCGGCTCTAGCAGAGCACGGCGTGCGATGCACTGTGTTGCCTCTGAAGAAGAACTTCTGCAACTCAGTTGGACTCACTACACATGGATTTCCTCCCATAAAATAAAAAACCCCTTCCAATTGAACATGTATTGCTCATCTATCCCAATGCTGGAAATTACTTGCAAAATTACTGAATTCGGATGACACATGCAATCATCATCCCCTCCTGCTGCCAAAAAAATGGCATGACCCTCTTTAAAAATATTCTTGATACTTAGGATTTTCTGGGTCAGGAAGTGTAACAATAATAAAAATGTTCTTGTCCCTAACTCTTGTTTCTGTCCTCCTGACAGGTGGAGGTGAATGTGAGTGTGCGCCACATGTACCTGTACAGCCGCGAGGTGCGTGGGGTGGTGGCACGTCTCCGCGCCGAGTGTGGGTCACTGTCCGTGCACGCAGTTGCCTTGGCCCACACTCAAGGTGATCTGAACAAGGCCTTGGGACACGTTCGTAATGAGAAACAGGCAAATGTGCAAGCTTCTAGCATGCGATCGCGACAACCTACACGTGAGGTGGTAAGTCTTGAATAATAATAATTTAGTTGACAGTAATACCCCGGTTTATGTCGGGGATGCTTTCCTTAAATGTGCGACAACGAATACCGAAATGACGTAAATCAACGCAATTTTTCCACGAGGACTAAACAATGCTGAAGCCGTGTTAATGCGTGCATCTTCATCCTAGACGTATCCGCAACATTACATTCAATTACTAAAAATACTACACTCAATACTAGTTTCGGCAGTAAACGTTAAAACATTATTAGCAGTACATTATGAAAATAAAATCACTAAAATATCATGCGTAATTACTATATTGTACTCCATAGTACAGAACATTTCTTTATGTGCGATGCAAAGTAGTTTGTGTACAGGGTTAGGTGGAGGTGAAGGTTGAGAGGCGACAGTTACGAGAAAGGGCAGACGATGCTGTCAGCGACATGAGTGTGGGTTGAGGCAATGCTAGTCGGGTAGCGGTGGTGTTGATAATGAAGTGACAACGTATTTTCTAAACGATATAAAAGGGGGAGGTGTAAAATCGCAAGGCTTACAGCGCAAGGCTATCACGAAGGCGCAGTACAGCACATACAGTAGTCTGCAGTAGCTACATGTTGTGATGTTGCTTTGTGGAATGCCAATTGAGGAATTTGTCGGTCATTTGTGAATTTGGAAAATTTGAACCGTGACAGCAACACACATTGGCCTACTCTTATCAAACTAGCTTCTTTGCCCATCCTAGGACGGAAGCTGTAATATTACGAAAAAAATTAGCAGAGTATAATTGTATCTTGTGTTAATTGAATGGCAGTGAATCTTGCACGAAATTATGTCATAAAACACTTCACTGCATTTCACTGTAGCACTGTATATAACTGACCTTCAATTTGTTCTAATTCACTGCTCTGATACTTTATTATTTTCTGCTTTCGGTCGCTGGGGTGCAAATAAATTGGATTGCAATACAATATCTGGAAAATCACCGAGAAATGTCTATGTAACCAAAATGTAGAAGCATAAATTAGACTTATCTTAGGAAAAAATATAGACCCCAAATCCAATTTGTTGCCGCGTAGAATTATTTATTAGATTCATTTTAAATAAAGAAACGTGAAACTTAAAGCGAATTTGCAACAAATAATAATTCTGCTCTACCTTAATGACGGGGGTGCGGCATGTGGAGTGACGTCACGCGCGGGACACAAACACCCTAATTAATAATCATGAGCGGATGACGTCACTGATGTGGACCACGCCACCCACCCCCTCATTAATAATCAAGAGTGGATGATGTCATTCCACATGGAGTTTCCCCCCCTGATCAATAATCATGAGCGGATTCCGTCACTCCACATGGAGCTCCCCCCCTTCATCAATAATCATGGAATGATGACGTCACTCATGTGGACCCTGGCCCCACCCCCTCATTAATAATCATGAGCGGGTCTTTATTTTCGATTGAATATTTCAGATTAACTGCAATACACCCGTCCTTGGACGGGCTATAGGCTACTTTTATAATAATTTAGAAGCAAAAATTAGACTTACCTTTTGTTTCAAGTGCTGAAAAAAAAAATAAAGACACCAAATACACTTTATTGCTGCGTAGAAATATTGATTTGATTACATTTCAATAAAGAAACGTCAAATTTAAAGTTAATTTGCGTAAAACAAATTATTTCCAATCAACCTGCGGGAATGTAAAAATCCACCCGCTCATGATTATGAATGAGGGGGGGGGTGTCTCTTTTGCAGTGACGTCACGTACGGATTTAGCACTGCTGCGTATATTTATTTTTTACTTTCTGTAAAGAAACGTCATATTTGAAGCAACTTTGCGAAAAAAACTATCTTTCCACTCGGCCTTCCGCGTGAGTGTAAAAATCCACCCGCTCATGATTATTTTATTATTAATGACGGGGGAGGGGGTATGTGGAGTGACGTCACGTGCATTACACACATTTCTGGGCTATTATAGTAGTAATGCCATCAGCGGGAATTGTAACGTCCACTGTGAAGCGTCACTTTCATGTAAATTGCATCATCAGAATCGCTGATTTAGATCTCTGTATCGCGAGAAGAAAGCTCAAAGTGGTCCATGGGCGACCGGGATTTTGCTTCGGTGGCCATTGGACTTTGGAACTCTCTGTCAAAGTTGGTCAGGGAGTCTAGTTCAGTATGCATGGGGTCAGTAAAAGAGAAGAAGCAGAAAGAGAAGTGTTGTGAGCTGCGGTCCTGAGTGAATGTGTGTACAGGTGAGCGTGTAGCTCGGTGAGTGAGCGTGTGGGTGATTTGCCACAGTGTAATGGTTAGCACACTGGATTTGCGATGATCCTAAGGTCACCAGTTTGTTTCTATGGCAGTTGAAACAACGGTGCAAGTCTCTCGAATTCCCCCCCCCTCTACTGCCTCTGCCCAGCCAGTAATGTAAATGTTGTACAGCACAGTCCAAGGGCAGACTGCGTGTGGTGGGTAAAGTTTGGGTGCACCCATCTCTTCATACCAATAACCCGACTGGAAACGATAACCACTCCCTGACTTTCAGAACTGATACTTGATTGATAATTGGTTTTTTACCCGTCTATCTGGCAACAAAACTGACACCTTTTTTGTTGCCAGATAGAAGGGTTAAAAACCAATTATATTTTTACTGGCAAATGAGGTTCCCATAGTGGTACTTGATTCTGAAAATGGTTGCAGGCTTCTTGGTTACTGTTTAACAACCCTACCATGTACACTGGTACTCAGAGTGCTGGGAGCTCACTGAATGCATGTACTGTATGAACTCTTCTCTTGGTCTGGCTGGGACTGTAGGGTCCAGATGAAGTGGACCTGCTGCTTGGTGTTGAGCGGAAGCAGCTGGCAGAGTTGGAGAGTGTCCTAGCAGAAACGCTGCTGCGTGCTGAAGCCTTACAGCAAGTATGTCAGCGCATCAAGCAGTACAGCGTAGCACACTGCAACACTGGTTTATTATTAATAGAGTGCCCCCTTCACACCGGGGTGACTCAGAGCGCTTTACAAGCAGTAAGCAACTTGCATCATATCTATGGGACCTTTTTGCCCAGTATCAAAAATAATGAAAAATAATGAAAAATAATCATAGGTTTTACCCTTTCTGGCAATACACCAGGAGGTTTTTAGATATTCCAACACCAAATAGATACCTTTTGCAAGGGATCAAGTCTATATTAACCACAAATACTTGTGGCAAAACATGCAAACAAGCATGCGCTGATAATATATTCTTTGTCCTTGAAACTGATTGGCCTTGTCTGAGCAGTTTTAGACCAGAGAACACCAAAAGGTACACATTACAAGGACAATGCAAGTATCAGAACACGTATATCTCTGGTCGAGCATTAATATCTACAGGACATTTTTGCCAGGATCAACAATGATGAAACATAAGAATAGGTTTTACCCTTTCTGGCAATAAAACAGATGTTAAGATATTCAAACATCAAATAGATACCTTTTGGAAGGCACAAGTCCTTTTTTTATCAATTTGCATCACATCTCAGCAAATTGAAAAAGGCATCACCAGCAGCAGCTGTCCCCGTGTGGCACAAGAGGACTCCGCACCGACCAGCAAGAAGATATTAGTCTGCCGGTAGAGGGCGATGTTCCTATGGGTATCTCAATTGAGTAATTTGTGGGTCATTTCCCAAATTTGAACCATGATTTGCCAGCACACAATGACCTCATTTCAAATTGTTTCAGGGGATATTTAACGTCCACTGTGAAGCAGATAGCGTATACAGTCTATTTTCCTATAACGTGGTAGTTGCGTTCCTGCAGAACACCGTGTTATAGAAAAATGGCATTATAATAGATAATATAACATAGGATAAAGCACAGTCAGCGATAACACGTGAGATGCGTACGCAGGCCGAACAAACACTGAGGTGCGTGGATAGCATCTAGAAGCATCCAGCAGCATTCCGCCTTGTGCGATAATGCTTCGCCGAGGTAGCCGTACAACCACTTATTCCTACTCGTGCAAAGTAGTTCCATTCACTCTATCGCGTTATCTCCAATTCGCTTCCGCATTGTAAAAATGTGTTCCCTAATATATTCATTGCATTACATAAAATTCGCGTTATGAAAACTATGCGTTATCGGAGATCAGACTATTTATATGATTAATAAACTCAAATGAGTAACCAGGGCGGCCTGCCAGATTCAAACCGCAAACCTTTTGAAACAAGCAGCGGACACGCTCCTGTTGGGCCATGTCACCACCCCGTTGTGTTCATGCACACAACTCACTCGTCTTATACATGCACTGCTCTTGTTGAGGAAAAGCCTAGTTACTGCTGCCTGAATGGATTGCCAGATATTCCATGGTGTTTTTTTGCAATTGAGCACAGAACTTTGCATTCCTTCCAGTCGTAATTTTTTTTAATTCGTTTAACAGTTTTAACTAACATCAAAACTAGTAAGAAAAGTGTTATTTTAAAAAGTAATTGGGCTCGGGCAGGATATAATCCTGACGAGAAGGGGTAGTGAGCGATGGTTAAGAATCACAATGGAGTTGCACTGAAGGAATGGAATGCGATCAAGGAGATGGAGTGATATAATCAGTTCGTGTGCTGGTGCTGGATGGATTCCTGCAGCGCAGGATCCTGAGAGGTGGCAGTGGCATGGGGAGGTATTCATCTGGCAGTGGATTGGGCATGGCTGATAATGGTGATGAGCAGGTTTACTAAGATAGTACCTATTCGACTTGAGGGCACTACATTATTTGTAAATGTATATATTGCATGTTTGCACCTCCAATTAGCACGGTTGGCTACGTACGGTGCGAAAGAAGTTAGACATACATATGGACATTGCATTTATAACTACAGTGTTAATCTTTGAATTTGTTTTTCTCTCCATGCAGAACTTGGCCCTTTGCCGTAAGCGGTTGCTGGCGTGCATCACTGAGAGGTCTTGTGTGCTAGACTTGATCGGTCACGCAACACCCAGTCGTCTAAGTCATACGACTCCTTCTGCCAAATGGAGCCCAGATCCTATTGGCCCACTGTCCCCAGGTATACACGTGGTATGGAACATGCAGATGTTTATGCACAGGTCGTAATAATAATTTGCTTTAGAGTAGCTTTCTTTATGCCGGGGTGTCTCACAGCTTTTAATACGTGAGAAGCACCTTACATCTCATCTCAAATACTTTAAGGGTACCCCCAGTGACAGCAGTCTCTGGAGCACAAGGTGACTCAGCACCTCGCCTGCAAGAAGGCATTCGTATTGTCAGTCGGGGAGATTCTTGATATGTATTTTCCAATGGAGTAATTCACTCCGTAATTTTGGGAATTTATAAATATATGTTTTACTATGATGCCAGCGCACATGGCCTACTCATTTCGAGTTACATTAGAGGATTTTTAACGTCCACTGTAAATTAAGCAGATGGTGTGTGGTAATATACCATGAAGGCACACCGCAGTATCAACCAGGGTGGCCTGCTAGGTTCAAACCATGAACCTCTGCAACAAGCACCAAACGTCCTGCTGGGCCATGTCACTACCAAATAGTACAGTACCATGTATTGGGAGTAATAATGTTACAGGACACACATGCCATGCCATAATGTCATACGTCAAGAGTACTTACAACATCGCACAGTGATTCAAGGGAGTACACAGTCCTGTGAGTCCAAAGAGTTGAGCGAGACCGGAGCCATATAATACAGCACAATATGACCAATAAGGGCCAATTACTTCTACATATATATAATTTACATTTGTATATCCGTTCATTTATCTATCATGCTCTTGAACTCCCAAACGCTGTGTGGGAGAACAAAATCCATAAAATATAAACAATTTCCCTTGCCGAGGACATTCCCAGGAAATTGTATAAAAGGTCTGTGAAGACGCATTATAAATGAATGTGACATTCCTTTATTATTGTTAACGAATGTGCTGAAACAGGTAAAACATTTATTAGTCAATGCCTGTGTCCTCTCCATTTGCGCTTAGGTTGAGTTGGGATTGTCCAGATTTGGCATGGAAATTCGTCAGCGCTTCTTCCACCACACACGCCATGGTTCTGGTTATGGCTGTGATTATAATATGGTTATGGTTGTGGTTAGAATATGGTTATGGTCGTGATTATAATGTGCTCATTATTGTGGTTATAATGTGGTAGTTGTGGTTATGGTTGTGCTTAAAATATGTTTACGTTTTTGGTTATGTGTTTGTGGTTATAATTTAGTTATGGTTGTGTTTTGAATAAGCTTATGGTTGTGGATAGCATGTGTCTGGTTGTGATTATTTAACGTGGTGATGGTTATAATGTGATGGTTGTGTTTATAATTTGTTAGTGATTATAATGTGGTTATTATGGTTGTGGTTAAAATGTAGTTTTGGTTGGGATTATATGCTCCTATTGTTGTTAGAATATGGTTATGGTTTTGGTTAGGTTATCATGGTTGTGGTTATAATGTGGTTGTGGTTATGGTTATTTGGGTTGTGGTTATGTTGTGGATATTTTGTTCTGGATATATTGTAGTTCTGGTGGTAATGTGGTAGTTATAGTTATACTTATGTGGTGGTTATGTTTTGATTTTGGTAATGTAACTGTTGTTGTAATGTTGAAGTTATGTGGTTGTGCTTAGAAAGTTGTGGTTATGTTGTGGTCTCAATGGGGTTATAATGTGTTGTGGTTATAATGTGCCTGGTGTGGTTGTGCTTAAATTGTGGTTGTGGTTATATTTTGGCTGCTGTGGTTGTGATTCTGTGGTGGTTATGCTTGTGGTTGCAATGTGGTTATAGTTTTTAAGATGCAGGTTGTGGATATAGTTGTGGTTATATTGCGGCTATTGTGGTTATGTCTCTGTAGTTGTGGTTGATGGTTGTAGTTATAGTGTGGCTTTATTTGTGGTTGTAAAATAGTTGTACAACTGTTACTATTAACAATATTTGTTTTAATATGTTGTTGATGTTGATATATTATTGTTGTTGATGTTGATATGAACATTATTACTGTTGATAATGTCACAACATTTAGATTTAAACCTTTCGTGACTGCAGGGATTCATCTTCTTGGTTCTTTCGGTAAAGTCACGTAGAAGGGAAGTAATACAATAATAAAAATAAAAGATAATAAAATAAAATAATTCTCACGACGTTTCGGCTACAACGCAAGCAGCCGTCTTCAGGTGAAGAATGAGACACTACCAAGCTAGGAGCTTATATATAAACTGGGTTGGAGGTGCAAGAAGAGCGCCTTAACAAAAATAATGTGCATATGAAGAGGAATTTAGCATATTCATGGGAAATGCGTAGGAGGTGGGTGGGGGGGTTTCATAGTCATATTATGCCCATGCATTATGCAGGATCAACAGCACCAAGGGGGGGTGCAGGGAGTAGCATTAACAAAGGAAAGGAATGTTAATAGTATGTAGCTGCAGTTACTAAACAACCACGTAGAAAACTAAAGTATAAACTACATAAAAAACTAAAGAGATCCCACCAACAGCCTCGTCACTAAAACCAACAAAATCATTTCTGATTCAACCGCATTAATTGATCAGACTAAACAGTTCTCGTTGAAACCTTCTGCAGCCAGACCACCAAGATTATACGGCTTGCCAAAGATACATTAAGATACACCTCTTCGTCCCATTGTCTCTACTATCAACTCCCCCACCTATAAATTGGCTCGTTTTTTGTCTGAAATCCTACGGCCTTTCACTGGAAAAACCACCTCTGCGGTACTAAACTCTACTGACCTGGTATCGACAATCAAGGGGATTGCCCTGTCCCCAGACGACCTGCTTGTCAGTTTTGATGTGGTTTCCTTATTCACCAAGGTTCCTGTACCTGACACCATCGCAATCATTGAAGACTTGGTTCATCAAGGACTGAATGCTGGGGTACCCCCTCTGGTGAGACACTGCTTAACCAATACATACTTCACCTGGAATGGAACTTTTTACAAGCAAACTGAGGGCACCCCAATGGGCTCCCCCCTATCTCCGGTTGTAGCCAACATCTTCATGGAGAAATTTGAGACTGACGCCATCCAGACTGCCATTCTACGCCCGACCTTATGGAAGAGGTACGTAGACGACACTTTTGTCATCTGGCCACATGGCAGGCCTACTCTAGACCAATTTCTCGACCACATCAATTCCATACACCCAGCCATCAGATTCACCATGGAAGTCGAAAAAGATGGCAAGCTACCCTTTTTGGATGTCCTAATCAAAAGGAGACCTGATGGTTCAATGAGCCACTCTGTCTACAGGAAAGCCACCCATACGGATGCTTACCTAAAACCGGATTCCCACCACCATCCATCCCAGAAGAATTCCCTCATCAAGACTCTATATCATAGAGCCCAATGCATCTCCGACCAGGAACACATTGCCAGTGAACTCAAACACGTACGCCAAGCTCTTAAGGCTAATGGTTACTCCGACTACACAATCCGCAAAGCCATTACTCCAACCATCAAGAAGGATCCTGTTGAGGAGCCTTTCAAGACCATCACCTTACCCTACATTGCTGGGGTCACAAAAAAGATCTCCAAAATCCTGATTAAACACAAGATCCAGGTCCGATTCAACACAGTACATAAAATCCGTGATCTGGTACCGTCTGTAAAATATGTGGTTCCAGACATACAGTACCCTGGCGTCTACAAACTAAGTTGCCTCTGTGGTAGCAGTTACATTGGGGAAACCAAACGACATGTCTCGGACCGCATCCATGAACATAAAGCAGACCTGAAACACGGTAGGACAAACACCTCAGCCGTGGCAGATCACTGTTACAACTCAGTGGGCTCACATGACATTGACTTCTCCAAGACAGAGGTTCTCTGCAAACCATCTGGCTATCATGAGAGATTCGTTCATGAGGCGATCCACATATACAAACACAGAGACAATTTTAACCGAGAAGATGGATTCTGGCTTAGCAATCATTGGAAGGACGTAATAAACCATTTCGGATCTTAACTGATTGTGTTCACGTTTACGGTGACCTTCAGACCGCGTTCCACTCACTGGCATTGTATTCTCCGCAGGGAATGGATTCTTTGCTCCGCTGCAAGTTTTCCCCCCACGACTCACCCATTGACACGACGGTCAATGGTACAGCGTATAATAACAAATAGTATAACATTTATATGCTTAATACAATGTACAAAGTAATATATAGTATCGTAATTGTATAGTAAACATATAGCAGTGTGATACACATTAGGGTGAGTAGAATAATACATAGTGTTATATTAAAATGTATAAGGTGGTTTATAGCAATACAGTATATAATTTAATGTTGGGTTTATCTATGGCAGTATATAGTACGGTGTATGCTCGTGTGATGTAAGAGAATAAAGTTTAGATGGAAGCATATTATATAATTTTTACGACGTAGAATTGTAATGTATTACTTGCTGTTAGTAACTCAGCTTATTGTAGAGTATAGTAAGTATACTGATGGTGCTATGCAGTTTATACTTTAGTTTTTTATGTATTTTATACTTTAGTTTTCTACGTTGTTGTTTAGTAACTGCAGCTACATACTATTAACATTCCTTTCCTTTGGTTTAACACGTAGGCTTTCGCGACCAATGTTATTCATAATCAACGTTTTTGGGTTTAGATCGCGTTTATTTATAAATGTGTCGTAACCCTCCACCACCCGACACGGCCAATCAGTAAAAATGTGTCACGTTGACAAAGACAAATAGTTCACTGCTTTAGCCCACCGGTGTGTTGAAGCCACAACATTTACAATTTGAGTACGACGTTTCGCTGGTAATTGCAACCAGCATCATCGGGCAATTCGCCAGAATGGTGAGGCTCTGCTGTCTCCCGTTCTTATATAGAGCAGCAGCAGGGTGACGTCATCATTAACTCATCAACTCATCAGGTGCAAAGATTCAAGGGGGGAGTGATTGTAATTATATACTAGATTAGTAATCAGGCTATTGTTACGATGCGAGTTGTAGATTAGTAATCATTTGGAATGTTTTTTTTGTGATTATGCTACATTAGTAATCAGTTAGTGGTTGTTTC